AAATGTAGAGAACATCAAAAAAGAAATAAAGAAAAAAAAACATTAGTCATTAATTTCACGCGTTCTTGCACGACAGGAAGACGATAGCACGCTGTTTACCTCATACTGATTTTACGAGCATTCTGTAACAGCGTGGGGGCAGTAAAATAACGCTTTTTTATGTCTCAGTACTTAGGAGGTATCTCCTTTGATGTAACACCGATTCTTAAGTTCCTAGGTCATTCAACTGTCAACTTTTAAGTTCTTAAGACTTAAGATAGATGGCGATACTTGACAAAGAGCATTTCAAGTTTTTTTCGTTTTTAAACTTATTTTAATTAAAAAATGGTAACAACGTACAATTGTGAATTGCGCATTCCTTAACTTTTGTTAAGCTCTTATAAAAGTGTTATTAAGTTTCAAATTTTTGAAAAAAATATTTTATTTTATTTAGTAAAATGCTGAAATTAAAATTGATTTTTTTTTTTATATTTAAAAAAAGTCAATTTTTTGTAGCCCAATATTGAGTAAACACATTCAAAAGTAAAATTTATTAAATAATTTATTAAATAATAAAATAAAAATATATAATTAATAGAATTGAATAAAATAAAAATACCTAAGCAATAAGTAAGTATAATTCTTAAATAATAATATAATGCATAATTTGAAACTTTTAATTAAAATAGACTATTAATATTTTTTATTAAAAAAACTTTTAAATATTTAATAAAATTTTTGCGAATTTAAGGAATAATTTTTAAAAATATACGTCCATATTTTAAAATTCAAAGAATAGAATTTGTTATTAAACTTCACATTTTACAAAATATTTGAAAATCTATTTTTAAAAAAAAAATAAAATTGATGTTTTAGCAAAAATATAAAGCCTATTTATCTTTTCACCTGCTGTCAAATAATTGAAGTACTGCTTAAAAATTTTATAAGTGGCACATTGTGGAAAATTATGAGCTAATTTAAATCCCTTAAACTTCAAACTAAATTCTTCTGTCTTTGAAAAGAAAAAAAATAACAGCATCAATTAAATATCAGTTCAACTTTTATAATTGCTTAGATAAAATTATATCAAATTGATTCGTACGTTTCTTTGAAAACTTTATTAAACTTTGAAAACTTTATTATTTAAAGGACCAAGGAAATTTGATCTCAATTTTTGTTTTAATATCAGTTTCTTGTTTCCACGACATTTATTTATTATAATCGAAAACGGCGAGTTTTAATGATCTTTATCAGATTTACGAAAGTATTATATCAATAAATTAATTCTGTATTATTTATATTAAAACTTCTTTAAATCGATTTCCTTAAAAAAAACTTTTTCAACTTCAGATCATATTACATAGATTTTTTTATTTTCGTATGAGGATAATGAACAGAATTTCTGAAAAGTTTTTTGACTACAGTGCTGCCATCTCTTTTACATAATGTGTACTCAAATTCCTTATCAAGAAATAATGTTATTATTACAGAAAAATGCATTTCAGGAACAATGGATAGCATAGCATATCTATTTCTTACATAAATTAACTTCAAATACCTAAGAATTTGGCCTAAATAAAATATGTTAAGCTTTCTTTATTGGTAAAAATATTTGCGATTAAATTAAAATTAAATTGAATAAAGAGGAGGAACGGTTTTAGACAATTCATGGATCGCAATCTGTGTAGTACTTTGAGAATTACTAAGTTTTGATAAATCAATTATGCGGAAAAACGGACCCTTACGAGAGTTATTACACAGTGGAAAACGGCTTCTGTCTGCCTTGAAATGCTTTTGCTTCTCAGAATCAGCTTTTATGGACATAAACAGCTCTTTCTCTCAAATATTATTATAATCAAATCTCTTAAAATATCATAATTATATTATCTTGTCAAATATTATAATTATATTTTTTCATAAACTGAGATTTTGTCTTATCACAAATTGATTTTAACTTCAGAATTTTAATGTTAATCTTAATAGTGCTAATAAAATTAAAGTTAAATATATTTAAGTTAAATTATAAGGTTAATTGAAGGTTAAATTAAGTAAATTAAAAGACTTTTTTCATAGAAAGAACATGTGAAAAGAAATGCATTAGAACGGGCATATTATAAAACAAAACAATAAAAAACTGAACTGAAAAAAAAATTAAAAAGTTCGTCTGCTTTTAACAATCACATACATAGTTCACTTAGTAGTTAGCCAAAGCACAAAAAATTAGTATGGTTGTAATTTCAAATATTTATTAAGAGATATAATAATAATAAAAACAATAAAAATAACATTAATACGAATAATAATTATAAACAAAATGAATTTAGCATTTCGTTAACGTATTAAACTTGATAATGCAAAAATTATTTGACCGATTTTGTTCAAATTTGGTGTTTAGCTATTAAAAAAAACTCAGAATAAATTGAGGAAAAAGTTTTGCATACCTTACATTTCAAAATTTTTTGAACTATTGTTTAAGTTTATAGTATAAATAAGTAAGTTTTAGAGTTTGCAGAGGAAAATAATACCGGTTATACTTAATATCTGTAATTCCAAAAGTTCGACAAACGATTTTTTAAATCTGAAAAAGCGATTTAATTTATAACCATCATTTTTCAAAATAAATGAGAAAGTAAGTCTACAGATGACGATCTTAACTGAAAATAACTATAAATCGACTATGAACTGCAATTTTAAGCAACACCGCCATGCATTCTGATTACAAAACTATCAGACACCAATGAAAATATTTTTGTTGAACTGGTTTGAAACTGGTTTTTTACTTAATTCTCCATTCAGAAACCTCATATGCTGTGGAATTTTAACTAATTTCGAAGCTTAGCGGGAAATAATTATCTGGTTTATTAAGCAGAAGACAGCAAACTTGAACTCTATTCCTATTTTCTTTCATTTTTATCTGATTGATTTTTCAAATTATCAGCCTTTTTTGGGATATCTGGTAATTCCTAATCGAAAACCGGTTTAAAATTTTCAGTCCAACTAATTTTAACTACAACTGAGAATTTTTTACTTATTTTTTAATTATATATTCGCTTGTGTAGATAATTATTAGCTCAACGAATCATAACCACCAATTTCTTCTCATTTTTTTCAAAGAAAAACAACAACACGTAATTTAATTTTCAATTTCAATTTATTTGCGGAGAAAATTGCATTTTAAATTTTGAGGTGATATTCTCCTCTTCAAGAAAGCAACTGAAAAATACATAGATTTTGGAGAGAAGTGTATAGTTAATGAGCTAAAATCATTTTCTATGAGAAAGTTGGAAAACATACTGAAAGGGTAGCGTCTGCAGAACACTATTGCACAAAAACGTAACATTATTTAGTATTGTACAATAAAATATTATTTTGTTGGTCCAAAGACATCACTCTTGCCCTCATTTAAGATATTGACTACTGCTAGATATGATTAAAACACTTGATTTAGTTAGTCAGTCCCATTATAATCAACAGATGGCGTTGTAGTTTGTTGAGTCTATGAGATATATCATCTTTCAAAAGAACACCTTAAGTTTGATGGGTGGCACAGGTTGTATTTTCGTAGATGGAAGAGGATTCACGGTTTTTGTTTGCATTTTTATTAATTTTTGCATTTTTCAATCACATACTTGTTTGTGATATCAGCTATGTATGTGGTTACCAATCCATTTTTTAGGAGAAGTATTAAAATACATGACAAATACGGCGTTTAGAGTTTATCATACCTGTACATGCTTATCAATGCTAAACTTTGTAAAATCTCAAGTACTTAAGCTTGGTACAAAAGATATTATTTTTCATGTCCAAAGATATCATTTCATTTCAGCCCAAGCACTAATATCTAAAGATGTTACTACACTCATCAAATCTCAGATAGATATTTATGAAAATATTCGCATCCGTGAATCAGTCTCGTTGTCAACAGTTGAGGCGTTATGGCTTGATTAATATGATGCAGAAGCAACCTTTGCGAGAAAGTTTCAAAAGTTGAGGAGCAGGGTTGGTAATATGGCACAGGCTACGTTTACATGACTGGAAGAAAGTACATGAGATTTTTATATTTCTATTAAGTATTTCTTTATTAAATATTTCTTTGTGATGCCTACTAAGTAAGTGTTTATTATTCTCACGAGAGTCATGAAAATATAGGATAAAGATGATGTTCAGGGCACACCCTGTATTCCATTGCTAAATGATGCAAAATCTTAAGCCCAGTACAAAATATTATTTTTTGTAGATCATTGCTTCATCAAAAACTCAAATAGGTATTTCTTGAAAAAGTTCGTTCTAATGAGTCAGTCTCGTTGTTATCCGCAAAAGGTACGCTGACTTGTTGAACATGTGATGGAGAATCAATTTTAAAAACGCCTCCAGCTTTTTAAGTTTATGATGTGGCAATGGTTGCGTTTATATAGATGGAAGAATGAGATTCATACATTTTTATTTTAATTAACTCTGTACTACTTATTTTAATATTTTTTGTGACGCCTATTATGTATAAGTACTTATTAATCCATTTTCTACAAGAAGTTTAAAAATGTAAAGGTAGTGTAATGAGAACACCCAACACCTCAGCACCTCAAAAACTTCAATTTTCTGTCTAGTATCAAAAATTTTGTGCAATTTGTTTATCCAAAGATATCATTGCTTTTCAATGCATTCAGCAAAGTCTCTGACAGCTGTTCTTCGCTGATAAACGTTCGCTTCAGTGAGTTGTCAGTTAGTCTTGTTATTTGCGGAAGGTATGTTAGCTTATTGAACGCATGATGGAGATTCACTTTTGAAAACGCTTTCAGTTTGATAGGTTAATGATGAGATGAAAGTTTCGTTTATATGGATAAAAGTTGATTCATGTTCTATTATTATTAGAAAGTTTCGTTTATATGGATAGAAGTTGATTCATGTTCTATTATTATTATTTCCATTAACTTTACACTGCTTATTTTAAGAAAAATTTGTGATGCCAAATATATATATATATATAAGTACTTATTANAAGTTGATTCATGTTCTATTATTATTAGAAAGTTTCGTTTATATGGATAGAAGTTGATTCATGTTCTATTATTATTATTTCCATTAACTTTACACTGCTTATTTTAAAAAATTTTGTGATGCCTAATATATATATAAGTATTCATTTTCTAAGATAATTATGAAAATATACGGCAAAAGTTTTATTTAGAGATAACCCTGTATATTGCAGCTCATCTCCGCAAAAATTTCGATTTTATAGTTTGGTTCATTTTGTTGGTCCAAAGCTATCATCAGTGCAAGTGTCATATATAGATTTTTTTTTTAAACTTTTAGTTCAGTGAGTCGGTCTCGTTGTTATGGGCATAGGGTACTGTGGTTTGTTGAGCATTGGGTATCCGTAGAGCATCCTTTGAGAGAATGCCTTCAGGTTGATGGGTAGATAATGTGGCACAGGTTGCACAACGTGGCTGGAAGAAGATCCGTAATTAGTTCGATTCTGAATGGATTCTGCATGAACAGCGTCGAATGACTGATGATAGTCCGTGTGAGATCTGGATGCCTCTTCGGAGGATGATAGGTAGGAGCTGTGGTGATGTCGATGATGGTAAGAGAAGGAGGAGACGCTGGATTGAAGTCGAAAAGATGTGACGGATGATCTGCTGCAGAAATCGTCGGTGGTTGAGGAAGTTTGTCTCTTTTGAAGAGGGAGATGGAAAGCAGAACATTCAGAGCTTGATGCTGAAAATGATGAATAATAATTAAAATTTGTATTATTATTCTTGAATTTCACCCTACTTTAAAGGTGACTTCGTGATTTTCGGTTTTTCGGTGGGTCAGTTTCAAGACGCGGAGCTTTTGGAGCCCGGTCCAAACTGTTCTGACGAAAACAAACTGAAAGTCTAATCGGTTTTAACCTTAAGAGAAGAGTATCGATATTCTTACCTTCTGTTTTTGTTATAAATAAATGATTTTAGGTAGAAATCAAATTTATTGAAAACAAACTTTTCATTTTAATACAAAATATTTTCCAACGATGCAGCGAAAGTATTGCCTTGTCCCTTTTTCGTCAAAATAAAAATTTATAAAAAAATACATCCATAAATTGAAAATTTGATTGGTTTATTTAAAGTAGAATGATCAAACCAAATTCATTAGTACTTAGTTTGTAGAACTCCTGAATTGTGTTTTGTCATTCTTTAAGATTTCAAATTTTTTATTGTAGTTAATTTTCTGGCAGAAACATTTAAAATATTGATTCCCGTAAAAAATTATAAGTTGAATCCATTGAAAAAGCAACCACTAAACGATTAATAACTGTTAACCGTCAAATGATTAACTTCTCAGAAGTTAAAGAAATTTAGATTGAGTTCCATAAGCTGAAACTTAGATTGAGTTATGACCATATTGTGGATCTTTATTTTATGATATAATTTAGACACCGAAGAATCTGAAAAAGATTCCATTTTTTGTTGTAGTTGCATTAGAAAGAGTTTTTTGGTTAAAAAAATTTTGCTTTTATTTTATGTAGCTATCTGCTGCTTTCAAGAAATTTTAAATCTGAATGCAAAATAAATGTTTTTTTTTTTTTCTAAAAGTACTTGCTTCGGCAGTACATATATTAAATTTGGAGAGCCACGGTAACTCAGGGGATAGAGCGTTCTAATGACGTTCGCCTTCTAATGACGTGAACCGGGATCGAATCCCAGCGATGGCTGGTCTATACGAATGCCGCACCCGGTTCACATCGACCACACTGCAGACGTGAAATATTCTCAGTGGTAGACAGATCATGGGCTAGAGTCTCCTTCCCTTTAGGCTAACCGTGGGAGATTCTCGTGGTCTTCGTCACCATGTAGCGCAAAGTTGGGTCAGTTCCATCGGAAAGTCCTCCGGGTTATGCGGGTTAGTTCCATCATAAAGTCCTCCAGGAAGGGGCAAATTTCTCCCAAAACTTGATCCAGGAGTTTCCTTGTCTTTCGGATTAGATTCAAAATTACAAGGCTAAGGAGATGAACATTGGTTAGTGAACCCAAAATTGGGTGACTGTTCAACGACTGTTATAGAAAAAATAAATAAAATAATATAAAACTGCGCTCAAAAGTACATGATTTTGGCGCATACATGTCTAATGTTGTTCATAAAGTTTCTAAAGGAGATTTTTCCTAAACAATGATTAAACAAATTTTATCAACAAAATTGTGATAATTCTTTATTGTTTTTTCAAGAATAAAATTAATATTTTAAAAAATAGCTCTGCTTAAACTAGCGAAAAGAAGGAAATAAGCAGTAGCTTGTAGTTATTTTATAACTTTATTTCATAACCGTCTTTGAACATCTGACCCAAATTTGAGTTTACAACTATCAATTTTAAATCCGTAGTCTTGTAATTTTGAACCCAATACAGAAGACAAGAATAATCCTGGATCAGTACCTCCAGAGGTATTAATTTGTTATGGGAACACGGAGGACTGATTATGTACTCATTATTATGTAACAGGGTATGCATGACTTAAATCAGAATTACTATGATCACAAAAGTCGCTCATTAGAAACCTTTTTTGACCTACAGAATGACGTAGCAAATTTCACATGTAACTTTACAAATGAGTCTTCGTGAATGGCGTATTTTTGTTACAATATCTGAGCAGTGATTTGTTTTTAATAATGAAATAATAATACAATACACGATACAGTATTTTTTTTAATGATATTTATTGTTAATATATTTTAACAGGTGCTTTGGTTGGTAAATCTGAAAAACAATATTTAAGTAAGAAAAATCTGATTTAAAAAAAAAATTTAAATTTTTCAAGAAAATCATAATTTTTCCAGCCCTGTTTTGTAGATGATTTGTGTTTAGTGATTGATTTGACCTGCATATTGACTGTCAAATTTTTCGTAAAACTTCCAAGATATTTTATAAGCAAACAGAAGAAAATTATTATTTCAGGAAAACTGAAATCTCCAAATACTTTCCAGCTACCGATACTAACAAGCCAGTTTCTAAACAATTTTTTCATTAATTTTTTTAAAAATTTTAATCAATTTAGTGTGTGAAAGCTGCAAATTTTAAAGAGTCAGTGGTGCATCATGTCTGTTTGGAACAAAATTTCAAAGAAAACGCACCTTTATAGAAAAGTGAAGAAAATTTAGAAGCAACACTAGCTGTGAAAGGATTACACATGAATTTTGGTAAAGTATTCCATGCCTTTATGGTAATTATTAATCCAGTAATTTCGAAAATACATTTAAATATGTAAAATATTTTAATGTAATTCGAATTATACATTTAACTGCGAATTATGAAAGCTTATTACTATAATATTTATGGTGAAATGATAATTTCTTACTTGTTTGTTTTGCTAAATCTCCATACAATCTAACTCTTGTATTGCGCCTTGTTTGAGGTTGTATTTTGCATACACTGCAGTTGCAGGAATGAAACTTTGAGTCGTGATCCGAGCCTTTGAGTTCTGGAAAGCATTATATCACTCAATTAATCATATAAAAGCAACAACTGAACTATAACCTTAAAAAAAACTTTCAAGAAGAATAATAAAGATAAAAAAATTATTTTAATAGAACTGAATATATTGTTTAATATTGTATTTTTATAGACATATTATAAAAATTCTTACTCAAAGTTTGATAAAAATTATAAATTCCCACTTGGACCCTAACTTTAATTTCAAAACATCACTCACATTATGCAAAATCGACATACGTAACTTCAAGGAATTCTATAATAAACTTTTTTTGTTGTTATGTGTGTTAGAGTAAAGAAATTTTCAAATCAATTCAAAATTGTTTCAATTCAAAATCAATATTTTTCTTAAATTGCATTTAAAATTCAATAAAATTTTAAAACGAATTCTGAAATGCAAGAAAGTTCTGACAAAAAATAGGAAAAAATATATCTTAAAAATATAGTTTAAAGATAAAAAATATCTTAAAAATATAATTTAAATATGAAAAAATATCTTAAATATATAATTTATAAATATAATTACAAATATAATTACAAATAAAAAAAGACTAAATACTCAAAACATAACAAAATAATTTTAGTTTCGTTTTTCGGAGTTTACTTCCGATTTCGGTTTCGTCCATCAGCATATGAAAACACAATTATAACTTCATTTCTAAAAATTAGAGTTCGAAACTTTTAAGGGTTATGAAAAGCTATTGAACAGTTACTGAAAGTTAAAATATAAATTTAAAAAAAAAACGAAAAACTTTTGTCAAATTTGCTGATTTTTACCCTTAACGACTTTCAAGCAATTGTGAAAAATCACCTTAAATAAAGAACGATCCTAAATAAAATTCAAGCAAAAATAACGTTTGGAAAATTGTTCATTTACAATTTCTCAGGTTTAGAACTTTCAATTTATTCTGTAATAAATTAATCTTAAAAATGTGCTTTTTCTTCATTTTATTTTCCTGTTCCAAAAATACTTTAATAAAAAATAAACAATGTAGTAGCATAATTTTTTTAATATATTGTTTTCGCCAAAATTCCTCACATTTGTTTATTACTCCTACTGTGGTTCTCGTTTTAACAATTTTTTTCTCCAGTTTTCCGAGGATAAAAAGCCATGTTCCATATTGGATGAGATCTTCGTTACACCTATTTTAGGATGCATTGGTGATTTATGTATTGTTTCACTTTTAATGTCACTTGAAACAGGTAGATATCTGATTATTTTAAAAATCAATTTCTCCGGAACTTTTAAACCTATTTTGTTCAAATTTTGTTTCTTACCCTTTAAAATTATATTCTTTAAAATGATGCAAAAATTGCCCCACTTATATTTTTAAAAAATTTCATCCATTATTAAAAAAATAATAATCAATATTCACTGAAACTTATTTTTTGTATAAAACATTCTTTGGATAAACGAGTTTTATAATTGTGTGCAAAATTTTTTTTAATTCGTTTAAAAACTTCTCGAGACATAGCAAAATACGCGAAAAGTAAAATTAATATTTAGAGGTCCAAACATTTCAGCACTCTCCTGATCAAACTATTGCGATAATTTTTTCCAGATTGCGGCTCCCCCCCCCTTATTTTGGGGGTCAGAAATCCAAATCCGTCGAAAAAAAAGGTATTTTTTATTCAAGTACGTTTTAGTGTCTGATTTCATAGCTTAAATTATCGTCTGTATTTAAAACTAGCCGCCTAAGGCGGCCA